ACCTTTGTCCCTCCATAATCCCGTATCTCTCCTCTCTTTCTCTGAATACTTCAGCAGACCCACTCTAGGCCTGTGTTAACTTCCACTTCTTTCTTCCTTCTTCCCTTTCTCTCCTGCAGAAAACCCTACCCTAATTTAACCACGTCATTCTTTGACCAAGCCCCTATTGCACTGAAATAGATTCTGTAGTCTTAACAGGTATACTCTTTCCTCTATGGGACAAACCACTACCATCATCCGTTTTCAAGGTATTCTATTAAATTCATTTGCTCTCTGAACTCAGACCTGTTCTTCATAGGCTTCCCACCGGTGGCTTTAGTTATTTCTAATATTCCAATCTCTTGACTGCCTCAGCAAACCAGGGCCTGTTGGAAAATATCTGGTCTCCTTCATTTGAAATGCAAGCTATTTCAAATTTGTTCCTAAACAAGTTCTCCTCAGCACCTATACACTAGGGTATCTCTCATCATTTCCACTTACCCCATGGGCCTTCTGGCCGCTTTCCTTTTGTGTACCTTCCTCTGCTTGCCCGATCTTTTTTGCATCCTTTGAGATCCCGTTAAACTGTTGTATTCTTTCAAATTTTTTGATTTCCCCAAGCTGTTAATCTTGCACTCCCCCACGGCCCTCTATTAAAACTTAACCTATGGCATGGAGTTGTAGTGTCACAGGTATGCAGGCAGATCTCCCCCCCCCCCCACACACACACACACACTCTCTCTCCTATTTAACTCCTAGACAATCCGCTCTTGGAGACAGCAGTCATGTCCCAGTCATCTTTTTACCTAAGGATCTGACGCATTAGATTTAATGTCTGCATGTCTAATGTCAACACGTACTGACATTGACCACATACTTGGCCGGAAGGAGGGAGGGAGGGAGCTTAAAGTTGAGACTGAGCCGATGAAAGTTCCATTACCCAGCTTGTCATATACGGTCTTTACATCGGAGTCTGTTCTTTCCTGTCCTTCCTATACCCCAAATAACTCTTACTCCCCAATTTCTAGTATGTTTTGTACCTGATCCTAAATGCCTTTTCTTCATCCAGACTTAATAAATCCCCTCCTTCCAACAGTTCAGAAAAATCTCATCTTCTTCATGAAGACTTTCCAAAAATGTATCCCCGATCTCCATTTCTTCCTTATTCTACCAGTCATCCCCAAACAATGAGGCTCACTTGCTTTTCCATTTTAAGACAGTGACTCTACCAATGCCAGCACCTCATTACTGACCTCCTTACTGTAGGTTGAAAGTTGACATAAAGCACATTCATTCTGGTGGCCTGTGGACCCACTGTCAGTCCAGTCTAAAGATAAAATATTGATATTGAGACTCTTGATGTACTTAGTGTTAATTTAATGACCTGTGTGCTTTTTGGGGTTTTTTTTGTTTTGTTTTTTTTTTTGCTCTGCTCTGTCAGCTCCTAAAAGTAATGGTTCTTACATTTTTCAACATGTAGACTCTTGACAGGCATGGCAAAAAGCCCCCAAAGTTCTCTCCCCTGCTGCTTGCTTCATACAAATACGAAAACAGTGTTGCCCATGTCGTCTTTTCTGTGCTAGTCTAACCCACGGTGGGGGATGGTTTTTAAAGTGATTTTGTGAGACTGCCTTGTCGGCCAGCCCCAGGCTCTGGGAGCTACCACCCTAGGAAGCAGAGGCTGCGCGTGTTCTGCTTGACGGTACAGAACGCAGCGCCGTGTGCAGACGGGGCTCTCTGCGCCTCGGGCGGGGGCTCCGTGCCTGCCCCGGCCCTGACCCAGGCTCGCCTGCCCTTTCTGCCCCAGTTGCAGGCACCTTCAGCTGCACCATGAAGTTTACGGTCCGGGACTGCGACCCTGACACTGGGGTTCCAGCTGAGGAGGGGTATGATGATGAGTACGTGGTGAGTCTCCCCCGCACGGACATGCACTCTGACACCCTTGCACCATCGAGTGACTTCTGCCTGCAGAGACCACGCTGCTAGCGACATCGGACATGAACTTAGGGGCTTATTCTTCCCCAACAGATCACAACTGAGGAGGACCTGGACGGATCCTCCTCTGTGAGAGGAGTGTGTCATGCCCAAGAGAATTGGGATTTACCACTTAATGACCGATTAAAACAAAACTCACTTTTTGATGTCTTTATAATAGGGATAATTAAGAGATGAAACAATTACATGATTTTCATGGAGATCAATGAGTTTTATTTGAAGAATTGGGTTTTTTTCTGTTTTTATTTAGCCGCGTTTAGTTTGCTTCTAATGTAGTCCCATGATGGACTGAAAAAGCCTTCACAAAATGCAGGGAAAAGTTGAACCAGTATCAGGCTGTGAGTGAATGTGACGTTCAGAGGCCCTGTCTGGCCCGAACGCGAAGGTTAGGTATGGCAGCATGACTACTCTACACCCCAGGGTTATAGGTGGTGATCTGAATATAGCCCTTGCCAGATGTCCTGTTTTCTTGCTTTCCTTTGCTAAGGCCTACATCGTTAGATTTATCTAGACCACAGAACTTAAACTACTTTGGTGGTAAACTTTTTCCTAAGCTCCTGCAAAGGACAGAACACCAAATGATAAAACCATTCTAATCGGTCCCTTCTGTCCTTGTGGTGTACTGAAGGACTTTACTGACCCCTGCTTGTTACCTACTAGCTGGAAGATCTTGAAGTGACTGTGTCTGACCACATTCAGAAAGTACTGAAGCCTAATTTTGCTGCTGCCTGGGAAGAGGTGGGAGACACCTTTGAGAAAGAGGAGACCTTTGCCCTCAGTTCTACCAAAACTCTCGAAGGTGAGAACAATTTTGCTATCGGTGTATTGCAGGATAAAACCTAATGGGCATATTTATTATTCCAGAGTATCTCTTTTCTTTAAATATTTCATAAACTATTTTGCTGAAAAGGCCAGGATCCTGTCTTCATCATCTAATTGAGTCAACCAGGTTCTAGTCTGGTGGCTTCCCTCCTCAGCACCTGCTGGGACGGAGGCAGACCCCTAGGCTGAGCTTTCCTGATACGGTTGCATCTGTCTTCTCAACACAGAAGCTGTCAACAACATCACCACCTTTCTGGGCATGCAGCCATGTGAGAGGTCGGACAAAGTACCGGAGAACAAGAATTCCCATTCCCTCTATCTGGCAGGTAAGAAACCGCCATCAGATTCCCCCTTTGTTTGGTCGCAAAATAGGAAGGGGTGTGCACAGGCCCTGCTACTGTCCATTATCCCGTCATAGGAGTCACAATTTGCAGCCCTGTCGATGTGAATAATTTGTTTTAGCTGTTTAATTATTTGCAGGCTATCCTTAGGCTGTTTTTGTTTTTAAAACCCTTAAATCTCTCCCGCAGATACCAATGCCACCTGCCTCTGAGTACTCCAGATCAGTACTACTGAATACCTTCTATGTGCCTGGTATCATGGGTATACAAAAGATTACTTAAGTTTGTACACAGGATTCAATTCTCACCATAAACACAGATCTCTAGAAAAGCTAAACTAAAATAATAGAAAGGAAATGCAGGCAGAGCATGACATATTTCATTATTCAGAGCTTGTTTTGAGTTCTTAATCTAGTTTTCCTTGCTTTTTTTCTCTCAGGTGTATACAGAGGTGGCTATGACTTATTGGTGAGGTCCAGGCTGGCCTTAGCAGATGGAGTGACCATGCAGGTGACTGTCAGAAGCAAAGAGGGAACACCTGTAGATGTTATCTTAGCTTCTGTTGGATAAATTTTTACGGGGCAAGATGAAGTCGATGCACACTTCACTGTCAGTGGGCTTTTAGGCTGGTGGCATGAATTTCCCAGAATCCTACTTTGAAAGATTAACGTCTTTGGAGAAGCAAATTAAATATTTGGCCCTGAGCCAGCAGATCAAGCAAATATCTATCTGTCCTTGTGCATGTAAATTTCTTTTTCCTTTTTTTTATTACACTCGGCCAACCTTGGTATGATAGTACAGCTTTGGGTGATCTTGCAAATCAAATACTATCCTCTACCCCAGCTGCTTAACCTCATTATAGTCTTTAATTTAATGTGTGTCTGAAAGCTCCTGACAATGTTGGAAAGCTTTTATCCCAGAGGGGTGGTGGGGGAGGGGAAGCCAGAGTCCACTTTTGTCAAAATTCATTTTTATTAATAGAAAATAAACACTTATTCCAGTTTCAGTTGTTATACTTGAAGTTGCTAATAAAAAAAATTTAAAATAATCACTTAATCCTCCTGTTTCGACTAAGACAGTGAAGCTGTGGCTTAAAAAAAATTTCAGCACCATTTGCTCATAGGTCTTTCAGAATTTGTTCATAAAGTTTCTGGAACTTTCCTGTCTGTAAAGTACAGGAATTATGAGCTACAAGAGGATGTCTCTCTGAGACAACCAATGAGAAGTTAAGTTAATCAGTCGTCAGAAAAGGAATCTCTGTACATTCGGTACGGTGACCTGGACTATACAACGATCCCCTCCCCTCCAGCTCGGGAGGGACATGCCTCGAAGCACTGAGGTATGAAGAGTCAGACAGTTACTCGCTGTCAGAGTTAGCTAATAACAGTAAATCTCTGGCACGGATGCTACTGGTCTTTAGTATCCTATGATTTTAGGAACTTCTGTAAATAGTCTGAATTTAATTCAGTGTGTATTCAGAAATTAAACCTGTTTAATAAGGTTCACTACTCTGCCAGAGTATCTGCTGGTTTAGTATCCTTAAAAATACATATAATACATGTAGGTAAATCATAGTCTTAAAGTATACTTAGAATACTGCATTATTCAAACCAAAACCTATTTTAACAAAATGTTTATAATTAAAAGCAGCTGATGAAATGAAATCCCGTTATGACAAGGGAGACTCACTCTCGCTTGAAGCTGTGTTGCTTAGAGAACTTAAAAACGCATGTGCCCTTAAAGCCATTCAAGGACAGGTCAGGAGACACCCTCTCCTCATGCTTTACTTTAGGACTCCGGTCAAGGATAGGCCAGAAATGAGCATTTCTAGGTATTTCAGAAAAGTCCATATAAGTGTTAAGACTTTTAAGAAATTCCTAATAGCGCAAAGGCAAGTCCATACACTTGCTCAAATGTGAGAAGAATGGGAGGTGGACTCTTAGGGCCATCCTTTAACGGAGCTTCTGCGGGCTTTTTACTATATGCTGATCACCGATGTGCGTCAGGTGGACTTTTGTGAGAGAATAGTGTTTGGTGGCCAGGACCTCTTTTGGGCATTTCTTCCTAAGTGGAATACACAACAAATAACGGAGTAGGGGAGGTAATACAGGGGAGCTACTCTTTCCAGCTCAGAAGGAGTTGATGAAGCCCATATATGCATTCAAGAAGCCCATGGGATCCTCTAGCTGTGGATAGTGGCTAATGTGGTCATCCAGAATCGACACTGTGGACCGCGGCAGCGTTTTCCTAGTGGAAGAGAACAGCATGTAGGTGAACTTAAGGCTGGAGGGAGAGGACGGATGCAAGCCAGTGGGCAGCCCCGGTTAAGGCTCTGGTGGACATACCACACTGGAAGGAACCAACAAAGAGCTTATTCACCTTCTACTTTGGAATTGTATCTTAGGCAGATAAACTTGCCAGTTCCATTTACGACATAAACAGACTAGTTCTTAAATGTTCATAATCCAACAGACAACAACCTGAGCATATAACGCTTTGCAGCACCTGCCCAAGCAGGATGACTTCCAGCTCCTTAGAGAAGCATGAGGCATCAAACAAGTGGGCCACTCAGCAACTCGCTGTCCAAGTAAAGATAACAACAGACCGTCCTTAACCCTGGGAGTGGATGAGGGGAGGGCATTTTGTTTAGTTAAATGCACACTATTTACTACTGGGTTGTTTCTGCTAGGCCAAGTGAAGGTATGGGACAGTCTTATGTGACATAGTCAAGATTTCATATTCCAACACCTTCTGAGTAAGTACCTAGAGAAAATAACCGATGAGAAGGCACTTTTCCATAGTGCACTCGTCTGCTCAGCTGAGGTGGAGGAGTTAGCTTTATGATCAAACTAAAGCAAACATTTCTTAAACTAGATGTATTTCACTCCGTGGTTCACATGATAGCTTTTTCTTACCTGAACACCTAGGAATATGTAGTAACCATGACAGTGAAAACAGGCCTAATAAATCAAGACAACGTATAACTGAGTTTTTTCATCTTTACATTTCTGAAAAGAAGATTCCCCAATTCATCCTTTTCTAGTATGTTTCCTGGATGAACAGCCAGCGAGGGCAGAGACAGTGGCTAACCTGTTCACCACTGTCACCATGAGAAACAAAACAAAGACCCCTGAGGGAGACTCACCTGTACAGGTCCAAAAACTCTGGATAGGGATTTACAGGATCCAATGGCCCATAGATAAAATGAACTAGGAAAGAGAAGAGGAATGAATTACTAAAGCTCTCACATCTATTCTCCCTCAAAAAAAAAGTTTTTTTTCCCAGTCTTATTGAGAAATAATTGCCATATATCACTATATGTAAGTTTAAAACATACAGTATGACAGTTTGGCTTATGTATATTTGAAATGATTACCACACAATAAAAAGAAAAAAAATTCTCGTCGTGATGACAGCTCTTAGGGTCTACTCTCCCGACAACTTTGTGAGCTGTAGTGCTCACGTTGTACATCACATCCCTAGGACCTGTAAGTGCAGGTTTGTATATTTTGACTACCTTCCTCCAGTTTCCCCTCCCCCCACCTCTGGTAACCACAAATCTAATCTCTTTTCCTCTGAGTTTGGTGGGGTTTTTCAGATCCCACACAGAAGTGAGATCATTCAGTATTTTCTTTCTCTCTGACTTGTCTCACTTAGCATAATGCCTTGTGGGTCCATCCCTATTGTCACAAATGGTAAGACTGCCATTTTATGGCTGAATAATATTCCACTGCAGTGTGTGTGTGTGTGTGTGTGTGTGTGTGTGTGTGTGTGTGTGTATCTCACAGCTTCTTTATCCATTCATTGATTGATGGCTGTTTCCATGTCTTGGCTGTCGTAAACAATGCTGCTACAAACAAGGGGGTGCAGACATATTTTCAAATTGGTGTTTTCATTTCCTTTGGATATATTCCCAGAGGTGGAGTCGCTGGGTCATATGGTTGTTGTATTTTTAATTTTTTGAGACTCCTCCATACTATTTTCCACTGTGGCCGTACCCATTTAAATTCTCACCCCCAGTGCACAAGGGTTCCCTTTGCTCCACATCCACACCAACACTTATCCCTTGTCTTTTTGATGATGGCCATTCTAACATGTGTAAGGTAATATCTCATTGTCGTTTTAATTTGCATTTCATTAAGGACCAGTGATGTTGAACTCTTTTCATGTACCTAGTTGGCCTCTCCTCTATCTTCTTTGCAGAAATATCTATTCATGTCCTTTGCCCAGTTTTTAGTTGGCTTGGTTTTTTTTTGCTACTGAGTGTATGAATTCTTTATATATTTTGGATATTCACTCCTTATCAGATATATGGTTTGCAAATATCTTTCCCATTTGTTGATGGTTTCTTTTCCTGTACAGAGCTTTTTTAGTTTGATGTAGTCCCACTGATTTATGCTAGAAAACCTAGCTTCTTTCAATAAGTAGGTTATAAGGAACTTCTGGGAATAAGCCAACAGTCCATTTGGGACAGTTCTCCTGTATAGAGACACTCAGTCCCTCCTCCAGCTCCTCTGTGCCTGAACCAAAAGGCCTAAGTCTCGCGCTCCATGTTCTCTTCCTATACATCCAGGATACCGTCATTATTTAGGTCTCTCTCCACTTACAACTGACCACTGACATTTTAAATCAACCACTAATTTCTGGAGCACTACTATGTATGAGACACTGCACTGATTTTTTTTCTTTTTAAATCTATAAGATTGAAGAGACAAATGAGCAGAAACCACCTACAGCCTCTCGATTAGTCATCTAGACCGCCTTCTGTCCCAGCAATTCAGCATGTAACGTGGCAGCCACGCACGCCGCAAGCGCAAAAGCCAGTCCCGCCCCCGGTCCTGACAGTGGAACCAGCTACTCCTGCAGCAGCATCCCGCTGTTTCAGATGCGGCACTCTACAACGCGTGGCACCGCTCTTCCGGATTAAATAAAAGATGCCCAGTTAAATTTGAATTTCATATAAGTAATGATTTTTTTAAGCATAAATATGTCAAAATATTGCAAAGCACATACTTATTCTAAAAAAGTATTTGTTATATATCTGAAATTCAAATTTAGCTGGATGTCTTGCATTTTTATTTGCTAAATCCGGCAATTACTTGAGACCCATAGTCCCTCAGTCCTATCAAGATAGAAGGTAGAACTACTCACTGGGAATAGTTACAGAAGCAAGAGCTCCCACCCAGCGTCTTCTAAACTTCTTCCTCTGGTTGATGTACTGTAAGAGACTATAGGACAGAGAAGTCAGCCAGAGTAGAACAAGAAATCTTTATTGTGATAGGAATGCAAAGGCATCCTAAAACGAAAGCCGCTGCATTCTCGTGTGGATCAAGTCGTGAGCATTCTTTGTATAAGACGGAAAGCTCTCCTTCTCAGTCACTGTTGCTACAGAAAAGACATGAAAAAGAAAAACACATGTACTAGGCTCCTTTCACAACCATGATTAGACATTTTGAGGCATTTAATATTCACAAAAAGCCCAAAGTAGGATTTGCCAAAGTCACTGGCCAGGTAGAAACATAATTAGCATTAGAATCTGCAGCTGTTTATCTAAACTGTGTGCCACGTGCCTTACGCTGATGGCTCACTATTCTCAATTTCTTTCTGCTTAGAAAGACCAGTGCATGACTTCTTGGTTTGCCTCACAGGTCAGAGAGAGAGGGAACAAGCCAGCAAGGAACGAAACAAGCAATCCTCTACCTTTCCCCACTCCACACCGCCCCCCCACAAAAAAGAGCTTCTCTGGAAACCAAAGCAAAGTGTCATTTCTTACCTGTCGATAACTAAGTTCCCGTCGTTGTTGCGAATCCCTGCCCACATGTCCCACAGCTCACTCTCAGAGGGGCGGGTGTACGGCCCAAAGACTGGGGTGAGACTGAAAGAGCCCGAGAGAGCAGGAAGACACATGTGAGAAGAATCCAGAATGTCAAATATGACTGGAACCTCACAGGTCACGCAGTCTGACCCTTAACTGATTTATGAATTCCTTCTACTACTTCCCTGGCAGGTGGCCAATATCTTCGTTTTAAAGTATCAAACCCTAGGATTTGGCCCAGAATTTTAATGGCAACTTTTCACTACACTGTTCCCAGGCTATAGTAAATCAATCTTTGACAATGACTTACCCTCGGGAGAATACAAAGAAGTTCATCAATCGAGTGAGGATGGGTGACAACATGCCTCCATCTTTGAGAAGCTGTAGGTAAAGAAGTAAAGATTTGAGAGAAAGAAAACCACTAACCAGGACAAAAGTTTTCTATTAGGAACTAAAAAAGGACTTTAGTCAAATGTCCTTCTACCGAAATGTTTGTTTATTGGCTTTTCGTTTTTTGTTTTGCCTACCTATTCTCTCACGGAAGACAAAACCTCTTTGTAATTCCCTTTAAGATTACATTTCTACACTTCACTAAATCCCTAAGGCTTCTAACTGATGTATTCAACTTTAGGATCTGATCTATTCAGCCATCATGCTAATGATACAAATCTCTAGATAGCTCTGTTTCTCCAAATATTTGTTGATCTCTTACTCTCAGAAATGAGGCTCTACCTAGAGGCCGCTTCCATTGCTTTATCAGCATAAGAAGGAAAAAACTAACTTTATTCTTGTAAATTCCTGAGGAGAAGATTTTCACTATGGCCCATTACAGCAGGTATGGCCCTTATATAGGTCCTAGCATTATTTATGTTGGTATAAATCTTAAAAACTAAAGATTTTGTGACTGGAGTAGCCAACCTTTTGGAGAAGGAGAGGACGGTGAGTCTCAGGAAATATACCTATAGGAGAAAAAGAGACTTATGTTAGTCATTCACCAACAACTTTAGGCCCATTATCGGAGACGACTGTCCCTATTTACTGTCATCTTTGGGGGCCATCACTGCCAGGAACAGGATTACAAATAAAACTTAGTTCTGTCATCTCATTACTTCTCCAAGGAATTCTGTGTTTAACAGGTCAAATTCTATCCCACTGGGATTACTCTCCCCATTGGAAGAGTAGAGAAATGGGAAGATAATGTACATGATCATCCATAATGCTGATGACTAAGCCCTGACTCCCCCTTGGCCTTTCTAACCATTCCTCAAAGCACCTAGTATTGTTAATGGTTTGAGCTGCAAAAGAGACCATCAGATTTTTTTCAGGGACTGTAGGTCCCTGGGCAGAGTGTGTTGGGGGGTGGGGAACGAGAGTTTTTCCTTTTCCATTTTTCTAAGGGTCAATGGGAGAAAGCCCTGAGCATTGCTGATAAAGGGATAGACTCCTGTCCCAATCTGCCCTTATGGTATTCAGGGGACATGTGGATTATTCATGGATTTACAAGCTGTGCTCCATGGCACACACACAAAAAAGAAACTCCTCCAAAAGGTCTAATCAGAGGTTCACTAATTTCTACCTGAAACTTGGCACTGCTACCAATTAAGTTTCTGCAACAAACCAGAGGAGTATCAGAAGCACCCGTGGCTTCATCACAACTATATGCATAACCCAGTGCAGATGCTGCAGACAGTGCAAAATGTCACTTGTGCTCCTCACCCCGAGCACGGTGCTCGCTAGACCTACCCATAGACCTCGCTATGCAATGCTTTTACAAAGAAGCACTTATTACTACAACACAGCTTTATATGAACTGTATGTTGATATAACCCGTTTCTTTTATAATCCTATTCATTTTATTTTCCGTATTTAAAAACATTATTCTGAGAAAGGGTCAATAAATCTCATTAGACCACCAAAGTAGTTCATGGCACGAAAAGGTCAAGGGCCTCTGGTTTAAATGTGTCTGCCTGCAGTCTCATCAGATTACCATTTAGATGTCGAGGTGATATCTACCTGTGGCCCTTCGAAGCTACACTTCACTTTCCACCCACCACCACGGCAATTACCTCCATTTGACAGACAGAGACTCTTTATAGTAAGCCGACCGGATCGATTCTGCTTGAACCTAGAAACAGGTGAGGGAAACACATCTAACTGAGTGGACATACACCAATCCAGCAGCTGAAGACAAACTCCCAAGAGGGAAAAGGGCTAGAAGGAACCCAGGAACAATTTACTTTTCCAGCATCTTAAACCAGTAAGACCTGTGAATAGTACAGAAGAGTCTATGACCTCACTGACCTATAGAGCAGCTCCTGAGCAACAATATCTCCGTAATCATGAGACAAAAGGTTGATCCTGCGGTTCTGGAGCCCCAGGTGCCGCAAAAGTGCCTCCACGATGCTGGCCTGCTCAAATATGGAGTAGTGATGCGGTCTCTAGGGAGAAGAAAGCCCAGATGTACAGGAGGAAGTCATGAGTGCAGATCTGTCTGCCCCCTCCCCCACCCAACGCTGGTCCCATCTAGATGCTGCTTACTGGTTTGTCACTGAAGCCAAAGCCCAAAAAATCAAGGGCGATCACTCGATGAAACCTCAGGGTCAGACCTTCCCAAATCTACAAGAAAGAAAGAGATGACCTGGCTTTTGTGATCCTGCACTTCCTCTCCTCCGACCTACAGCACAGGAATTTCATTCCCATCTTGGCTTAACAAACAGACTTCGATAAAGGGAAAATCTCATGCAACTACCACGGGCCCACAGATGATCCTCTTGGTTTACTCCTAATCTCCATGAGGGGAAAACTCCAGCATTTTTAACTTGGCAATGATCCTTCCCAGATCACCAGAGTTTTTACTCCCTTACAGTAAATGAGAAACAGTTCTACACTTAATCCTATTTTATTAGGCAATTCAAATACGTAAGAACCTTCCAGTGCTGACAACAAAATCCTTGATTTTGGATTTTTAAAGACACAGTAGGATCTAGAAATTTGATTTCATTACCTTGTACCAATCATAGCTGGATGTTGGAAAGCCATGTAACAGCACAACGATCTCAGGACTTCCAACCACACCCACAGAGTCTGGGAAGAAGGAAAGAAATCAGTTAGGCTGACTGCCTATAACAATAACCTTATAAATATTAAAATCGAAGTAACCTGGTATAAAGAACAAGAAACCCTGCCTAAATTAATGAAATAAAAATAACAAATTCCTTTTTAAAATGGAAGCTTACTGCTTTAGGTAAAAACAGGCATTTGATTATTTTCTTTTATATATTAAAGACTTGTAAATAGCACACTTTATATGAAAATACTGGAAGACCGTCTGCTTCATATCACCTATATTTTTTTAAAGTACTTCTCCATTTCTTCCTTTATTCTGTATTATCAATATGTAAAATTGTTTTTCCACAGTAAAAGTAAACTTGCGCAGTTAAAAGTACACAATCACAACATAAACACTGCAGATCCTCTACCTTATCATTAAGGGCCTCACAAAAATATTCTAAAAGATAGCAACTCTTCCTCAACCTGATGGACACCTTAGTTTGTCTTGTTTGTCCAGCACTTTTATTTCTCCTAGGGAAGAGCCAATCCAGTATCAAAAGCATAATGCTCAAACTATTAACAATTCTAACAAGTATAAAAAAGGATTAAGCAATACTGACATGAACATTTTTTAATGCAGAAACATCTTTTAAATTAGCCGAACATTTAAACAGTAAAATGCCGGGGCGCCTGGGTGGCTCAGTTGGTTAAACCGCTGCCTTCAGCTCAGGTCATGATTCCAGAGTCCTGGGATCGAGCCCCACATCGGGCTCCCTGCTCATGCAGGAAGCCTGCTTCTCCCTCTGCCTGCCGTTCCCCCTGCTTGTGCTCTCTCTCTCTCTCTCGCTCTCTCTCTCTGTGTGTCAAATAAATAAATAAATAAAATCTTTAAAAAAAATAAACAGTAAAATGCCTTGCTTTTAAAGTATTAGATTAAAAGTGACACATTCATACATCCTGCCAGTGGCATGAGATTTGATAAGGTTTACAAAAATAATTTAATTAGAAGCAATTTAAAAATATACTTATTCTTGAGAACCCATGCAAATAAAATCATTCTACTTACAAGTAGTATAGTTTGAAAATATATGGAAAAAATAAACGTATACATGAAGATTTCCCTTCAACATTAACTATTTAAAACATTGAAAAACTAGAAACAACCAAATGACTAATATAAAGAAAAGTATATACTTACTTAGTTTGAATATCGCAAATGAGAGGAGGTCAGGAGCAATAATGAAAAACGGTTTATGACAAACATTTTTCGTTATTGCTCTTGACCCCCGCCCAAAAGATAGCTTTTCCAATCTCGTTTCAGTTTCTTTACCTATAAAATGAGGTTAATGGCATCCATCTCCAAATACTGTTGTAAAGATAGTTAATCTTAAAGATAATAACAAAGGTTGAGAACATAATTCAATGACTAGCATATGGTAATTACTTGTTAAGTAGCAGTCATAATAATCGTTAGCAAATTAATCTATACAAAGGTATAAGGCTTAAATCACATTTAGTTATGCACATAACAAATAATCTTTCCAGAAAATAAAATGAAGTCAGGGATGGAGGGAAATAGAACCTGTGGTAGGGCTATCTACTGAACACTAGGGGCGCCCAAAAGAGAAAACTGGTATCTATCAATACAAATGAGGCTATGAAGAAAAATTACACGGAGAAGTCAGTTCTACAGAAATCGGAATCTCAATTCCATCGCCCCCATCCCCAACAGTTTTCTTTGAGTTTCCCTGCTATGGAGTTATTGAGGGGAATTAACCCATTCCTTCAAGCACACTACACAGAAAAAGGGGTTTCTCCCCCCTCCCTCACTGAGGGGCAACAGAAACCAATAACAGACCCAAAATGAGTAGCTTGGTGGGCCCCTGGAGCCTATTATACATGCGGGGCGCTCCGGCAGTCCTGTTCTTACCTTGGTAGAAGATGCGCAGGCCCTTGTAGGTGAAAAATTTGCCTGACGATTTCCATGAGTGAAGAGCAGGAGAAAGCTGGGGAGGGGGGATATGCAGATAGGCCGCCAGCAGGGGCACAGCCAACAGCCCCACCTGAACCCACCACTCCCTCATCCTGTAAGAAAATCAGAGACCTGGGGTAAGCAGTCGGATGACGCTGCGCGCTTTTACAAGCCCCAAATCGGTCAGATGGGGTGGGAAATTTCTGTGCCATGCGGGGACGACCTTGCCCTCCACGTGAACCATGGCAGAAAGTTTACCAAGAAGAACGTAAGCACACCTCTCCCTGCTTTCCAATCGCCATATCTGTTCACCATTTTAATTTTAAGGAAAAAATATATTATTTTAATATGTAATCTTCCCTCTCTCCTTCCCACTTTAATCCCTCGGCACCCCGCCCCCTGCCACTGTGGTTTTCCTAAAACCTG